CCCCCCCCCCCCCCCCCCCCCCCCCCCCCGAGTAATAATCAAGAGCATGACGACGGAAGCTCTGGCCCGCAGGTAGGTGGGTGGGTGGTGGGGTCAGATCTTCCCCGGGACGGCTAGCCATGGTCAAACTCCGAGTGCAAATGTCTCTAGGTCGGTGACTATGCTGGAACAGTGTCATAAACTTTTTTTTTTTCTTGCTTTCTTTCTTTTTTTATGTAATAATAAAGCCCAGGTTGTTGTAGAGGCCCCTTATTGCTATGGGACTCCTTCCCAACCAACCCCTCTCGTAATTTCTCCCCAGCGCACCCCTACTCACAAGATCCTACTTCAGTGTCTACGACTCAGGACCATTACCCTCTGGTCTTTTTCTTGACGGGGTTGACCTGACCGGACAGCAGTTGCAGGTATCAGGGCTCAGCTGAGCCTCACTCACCCACTCAACCCTGATCGAAGCAGAGTCGAACGAGCCTGCCACATGGGTACTTTGGGCGCTAGGTATAGACGTTTCACTACAAGTCTCATAGATGGACCTATTTGTTTTCCTACCATTGTGTACACAACTGTTCTTACTGCTGTTTGTTATAAGGTTGTTCACTGTGTACACTGTTGTTGTTACTACTTGTTCCCTGGTTGGTTGTGATCTATTTTTCATCAACGTGGGAAGCGGGTAATCTACCGTACCAGCCATAGCCCCCTACTAAGCCTCATCTCATTAGTCGTTCGTGTTATAAGTCTTTGGCCCTCCTACCTAACCCCTCCTATGCCTAGCGGGTAAGCCCCCCAAGATCCCAAGCTGGCAATGAAATCCTTCCTGATTCGTCTTCCCTTCTTGGTTCCACCCCCTCACTAAGTAGAGCCCTAAGGTTATCAATACCCCTACCTACATCCCACTACTTGAGCAAATTCAAACACACCACCTCATCCATGCAATGTCCCCATCAACCCACAGAGCTACTGCGGAAACCAATCTATTTTGTGCGTAATGTTTGACTAGAAGACAAACGAACAATCATTTAATCGT